TTGCACTAGGGTGACTCTTTAAGGGTGGCTGTGTTGTGAAGTCCAGACCAAAAGCCTGAGTTTAGAGTCTGTCTTCATAACTGACTAGCCTTTAAGCCTTTTCAATTACAGTTAGTAAAAATATGAACAGGATGTTAATAGGAGAAATACAAAACAAACCTCCCATTAAAATATACACAGCATTATTTGGAATCAATAAAACTAAAAGGCTGCAGAGAGTGGTGATGTATGCTTTTAGACCCTGAACTTGGGAGGCAGAGGCAAGAAGATCTTTGTGAATGCATCCCCGTCTTCATGGGGAGTTTCAGGACAGCCAAGGCTCCATAATGAGACCCTGTTTCAAAATAAACAAATAAGGAAACTAAAAGTAACAAAAAGTATTTTATGTTGCTAAAGCAATATTTATGTGAAAGCAAATATTGCTGAGGCCAGGAAGAATATAAATTGGAATTGCCATTTTTTTTGTTATTTGTTTTGGTTCTCAGGCAATTTCAGCATGGCCTCCAGCTTACTATGCAACTGAGGCTTGCCTTGAGTTCCTGACCCTTTTGCCCTCCCCTCCTAAGGACTGGGATTATAGGGCAGCTTGGAATGGCCACTTTGTTGTTTGTATCTGTAAATGAGAAGATAGATGTATTCTATAAAATGCCAATTCTGTTTTGATGGGGCTACTTTATAGTAAAAACTCGTGTACATATGTGCAGGGAAATATACAAGAATGTTGGGGGCTGGGGTTTCAGCCAGTTTGTGCCTACTTCACACAAAGCACTGGTGTGATCCTCAGTATTTAAGTGGGGGTGGGGTGGGAGTGGGAGGGGATGAACACAGTGCAATTTGTTACAGTAAAAACACATTAAGACAACTTGAATATATATCAGTAGGGAAATATGCACATTTGGGATGTGCCCAAAGGGTAAATTGATTATGTATTGTTTTATGAAAGTTAACCAGATATCAAGTGGGAACAAGGTGCATTCAGTTTTTGTCATTTAGATAAAAACAAAGCAAAACCAGAGTGTATATTTCTAGATATTTTAAAAATATTGGTGGCGCACGCCTTTAATCCCAGCACTCGGGAGGCAGAGGCAGGCGGATTTCTGTGAGTTCCAGGCCAGCCTCCAAAGCCTCAGAGAAACTCTGTCTCGAAAAAACCAAAAAAATAAATAAATAAAAAAATATTTTATTAATGGCAGGAGGTGATGGCACACGCCTTTAATCCTGGTACTCCGGAGTTTTTTTGTTCTCCGTCATGTGGGCTTTCAGTATTATACTCAAAAGGTCAGGTTCTGTGGCAAGTATCCCTACCTCCAAGCCATCTTGCTAGCCCTTGTTTCTGTATTTTCTGAAAGCATTCTTCTTAGGATGGGAATGCAGCTCAATTAGTAGAATGCTTGCCTCACATGTCCAAAGTCCTGGGTTTCACAAAACTGTTTGTGATGGTGTGTACATTCAGGCTCAGCATTTGGGAGGTGGATACAGGAAGATCAGAAGTCCAAGGTCATCCTACATAATGAGTTCAAAGCCTGCCTGGACTACCTGAGACCCTTCTCAATAAAAACAAGGAAATTAGAAAAAGGAATGAAGGAAGACTGCCTCTTAAACTGAAGAGAAATGCTATCCATTGACTAGTCTGTGTCTTGTCTGTCATCTGAACCCATAAACAAAATTAGAATGTGAATTTGAAAGCCTAGAGATAAAAGCCTAGATGCGTTTAATAAAGTTTATAACCTAACTGTCTGTTTTACCCATATAAACACCTTTCCTAGTGTACACAATGAAAAGCTAATGAACATGTTAGAAGGGACAAATGGAAGATTTGGGATTTTTCTTATTTTGTTCTCCTCTCCTTGTTTCATTGAGACAGTCTTGCTATGTAGCCCTGGCTAGTCTTGAACTTGTAACAATCCTCTTGCCTCAGTCCCCTGAGTGCTGGAATTACAAGAGTAAACCAACTTGTTCTTTACTTTGAGTGGTAGTGAAGTCGAATGGAAGAACTTCAGCTTTAGGGTCAAACCTAGGTGTGAATCCTAGCTCTGCAAGTCATCCAGACTTTAGCTCCTGACCTCTCTCTGTTGCAGAAGAAACTGTTGCCTACTTCACTGAGCTACATGGGAATGGGAATTAAATGTGATAGTTTTTCTCATTTCCTCATCCCCTTTGGTCAAGGGCAATTGGTTTAGTGTAGGATAAGATCAAAGATGTTGTTGCAGATGATAAAATGTTTTCGCAGAACACACTGTTTCCTAGGACCCAGATAATACTGAGAAAGATGGAAGATAGAGATATTAGACTTAGAAGTCTGGTAACTTGTTAATCCATTTAGCTATTTGTTTGTATTTCACATGATCATATATAGGACGATGTTAGTAGTTTATAAATGACATTGAACTTGAGACCTATAAGCAGTTTACATGACAGGCTGGTGACTAAGCAGACTTAGTTTTCACATTTATTTGTGCTACCCAGCCTTTGAGAGCTCAAAGAACAAAGAGTACTTCAAAAAAGTTCTGGAATGAAAGGAGAAAATCAGGTTTAAGGTAGAATATATTCATACATACACCCTGCCTTTTCCTACACTACTATTCCCTTGTATTTATTGATAGCGTGTATAGTAACTCATTAATAAATTCCTGGTAAGACTTGCTTATTCAAGTGTTGAGACTGTTCTAAATGATAATTTAAAAGTGAAAATGGTGTAACTAATGTTGTAGGTGGAAATTCTAGACCCCTCAAGCAAGAATTTCCAAATAGGCTCCCTTATCATTTAATTGTGAAATAAATAGCTAGCACTTTGATGGTATTTATGTTTGGGAAGAGAGTAAAAGGAAACCATTTTGGACTTTCCCCATGTAAATTAGGGTTCTCTGAGTAATTAGCAGTTAATAAGTGAACACTTCCCTCAATTTTAAAAGCCATAGTTAAAATGGGTATATGATTATATGAATTATTATAGATATAAAATCTTTTTGTCGTTGTTTGTTTTTTGAGACAAGTTCTCTTTACACAGTCCTGGCTGCCCTGGAATTCACAATACAGATCAGGCTGTCCTCGGACTCACAGAGATCCACTTGCCTTTTCCGAGTGCTGGATTAAGTAGTTTTTTATCAGACACATTTTTAGTCCCAACCATTTTAAAGCAGGAGCCACGGTGGTATAAAGAGGTAGAACTCGGAGGCAGGTGGATCTCAGTGAGTTTGAGGCCAGCCTGGTCTACAGTCCAGGGCAGTCTCCAAAACTATACAGAGAAATCCTATCTCAGAAAAACTAACCTAAAAAAAAAAAAAAAAAAAAAAAAGAGAGAGAGAGTGATTAGCATAGTCTGAGTCAACACAATCAAGACGTTTCTGGTCCACAGTTTCAGTCACTCCCTTGGTTCATATAAGGATCAGGCAGTGTTTACTTATACTTAAGTTTACTTGGATCTTTCATTTTAGCATGATGAAAGTATAAATGACTATCTTAGACAATGCTATCTGATCATGACTTTTGCAACTAGGCATTAATGGGGATTTCAGGCCAGTGAAGCCTTATTGGTACGTGTTGGAAGACTTAATCCTGATCGTGTTGTGGAAGTCACAGCAAAGCAGAAGAGGAAAAGCCAGCCTGAAATGCTTCTCCTTCTCCAAAAAAGGCAGCTCATGTGCCCAGATAGCTTTCCCCTCCGGGGGGTGCAGGTGTGCTGTTTGAATTCTTTAATCACTCACATAAATTAAAGCTTATTCCATTGCATTTACAAACCAGTACAAAGCAGCACTCTCCACGTTTATGGCTGGGCAAGAGCCTTGGACTTGAGTCTCATTGAAGTTTGATCAACTGTGAGGATTTTTCAGGGCTGGGTGGTGCACTTAACCACAGAGTGCTAGACTGATAAGAGCTGCAGGTGAGGAAAACAGGAAGAGCAATCAGACAGAGCTACACTTGCTCTTGGCTGGTCGGAATTCCCACCGAGGAGCCTTTCCCTCCTGTCTCTGTGGCTCTTTTTAACTCCTACCCTTAGCCCAGATTAAAGACAGCACCAGCGCTTTCTAGTTCCACTTTGTGACCTTCGAAGGGGTGGGGTGAATACTTTGTAGTAGAATGAATGGTTCTTGGTAAGACACTTGGAGATCTGAAGACAAGTCCTGACTTCACACAGATGCTGGTTGGTATGCAGGCAGGGACAGGACAAAAAGGTGCTCACACACGTGACACTCATGTGTGTACATGCATGCCCACAGTTCATATGGACGGGACTGGATCCCATCCCTCAGGTGATTTTGCTGCACTCGTGCCTTCTGTTCTGGGTAACATGAAGATAACTTTGCTTCCATGGCTGACTGTAGGTGTTAACGAGGAGGCGTTTTGTGAAGAGCATGGATGCTTGGACAAGACAAACCTTGGTTTGAGTCTCAGTTTCTGTTACTACTAGCTCTGTGATCTTGAGCAAGTTGCTTTGATTCTTTTTTTTTTCACATTCACTAAAATTTTATTTATATTTCCTGTATAAAAGTGTTTTGAATGCAGAGAAACCCTGTCTTGAAAGACAAAAAAAGTTTTTGTAAATATGTGTACTACATACATCCAAAGGCCAGAAGGTGACAAGAAATCCCCTGGAACTAGAGTTAAAGACCCTGTGAGCCAGCTAGTAGATGTTGGGACCAAACCAAGGTCCTCTATAAAGAAGCAAGCTCTATTAACTGCTGGGTCCTCTATAAAGAAGCAAGCTCTATTAACTGCTGGGTCATCTATAAAGAAGCAAGCTCTATTAACTGCTGGGTCCTCTATAAAGAAGCAAGCTCTATTAACTGCTGGGTCCTCTCTGCAACCCTAACATACACATTTTTGTCATCATGGTTTCTAGAACTTTTACAAACCTTTATAAACAGAAACTGTACCCATTACATATAACTCCTAATGGGTCCCTTTCCTAGACTGGCAACCAATATTACTGCTCCTATTCCATTTTTTTCCTTTTTTTTTTAACAGACTTAATTCACTTTATTTTTCTTGTATGAAAACCCTTATGTGGTGGCCACAGCTGGAGCCTGGGTCCTCTGAACAGAGACTCTGGTGTGGGCTTTCACAAGATGGTCCGTGAATTCCTGATAAGGAGACTTGGTGAACACAGTCTCTTTCCAGAGGTCAGGGGTCAGGTAGCTGTAGGTCTTGGAGATGGCATCAAAGGTGGCCTTGGCAAAGTTGCCCAGGGTGGCAGTGCAGCCCCTGGCTGACGTGTAGCAGTCATCAATACCAGCCATCATCAGTAGCTTCTTGGGCACAGGAGCAGAGACGATGCCAGTGCCTCTGGGGGCAGGGATGAGACGCACCAACACAGAGCCACAGCGGCCTGTCACTTTGCATGGGACAGTGTGGGGCTTGCCAATCTTGTTCCCCCAGTAACCTCTCCGCACAGGGACAATGGAAAGCTTGGCCAAGATAATGGCCCCCCTGATGGCTGTGGCTACCTCCTTGGAGCACTTCACACCAAGACCAACATGACCGTTGTAGTCCCCAATAGCGACAAAAGCCTTGAACCTGGTGCGCTGGCCAGCCCGAGTCTGCTTCTGTACGGGCATGATTTTTAGAACTTCATCCTTTAGAGATGCGCCCAGAAAAAAATCAATAATCTCGGATTCCTTAATGGGCAGGGAGAACAGATAGATCTCCTCCAGGGACTTGATCTTCATGTCCTTAACCAGGCGGCCCAGCTTGGTGATGGGGATCCACTCCTTGTCTTCGGCTTTTCCTCCACGAGCCCGGCGGCCTCGACCACGGCCTCGACCATGACCGCGGCCCCTGAGGCCACTGCCGAAGCCTCCGCGGAAGCCGCTGCGGCCGCCTAATCCCGGGCCCCCAGGTCCTCCGGGCCCTCCCGCTGCACCGGCGTCATCCGCCATTTGGTGTTTTCCCGAAGCAGAAGAAGCTCCTATTCCATTTTTTGATTAATTTTTTTAATAAAGGGGTTGTGGACCAACGAGAAAGCTTCTATATGTTTAAGCCTTCTTGTTCATGTGTGACTGAGTTTACTGAAGGGAAAGGTAACAGAAAATGGGGTTGGATAAAGAAAAGTTAGACATAGAATTAATGTGGGTCTTCCATCCACAGCCTTAGCAGCCCTGCCATGGATCTGCCCGGTTCTTTTGCATCAAGAAGTTAATCTTTCAAGCCATTTCCATGTTGTAGATCCTCCGGCATGTTTCATAGCTCTCCCGCTGGCTGCGGCGGCAGGGCTTCTCATAGTAGCGCCTTTGCTTTATGTCTTCAGTAAGCCCATCAGTTGTGAGGACTCTGGTCACGGTCCTGTATGCACCTTCCACGTTCCCCTCCTGAACCACCACAGTCCTGGCAATGAACTTCAGGTGTTTAGCCTTGACTTTGCTTTCAAATCTTCATTCTCCAGGACCTACAGACTACGGCCCCAGGACTCCAGGACGCCTGCTTTAATTCTTTTAGTCTCAGCTGTCCTGACTGTAAAATAGAAGTCTACAAATACTTATCAGAAGATGGTGCTAATATTAAATGAAATAATGCATTACAACAATTAGTATATTACCTGGCACATTGTTCAATAAGTTGGGTAGGGGCTCAAAATTGGTAAGTGTTATTTGTAATATAGGAAACCAAGTGTCTGACTGGAAGATAAATATTAAACAAGTACAAGCCTACCCCCCTACTGTCTGTTTAAAAAAATTCTCCTTTTTCTGCCCCCTAGGATGAAAATACTTTGATTCTAACTACTATAGAAACACTCCCACTGACTTGTAAGTCCCTGGAGCTAGGGAGGAGAAACCTCAGTCAGGATTTGCTTCTAAGTAGAAGCTCTTTCATTTCTACTATGAAAAGGGGGGAGGGCATACTGAATTTTTGTCTTAGTCTTAGGTGCAGGTAAGTCGTCAGAAGCCAGAAAGCCCAAGGAAGGAAGGGTTTTGTAAGATCTGTGTTAAGTGGGTAGAAGAAAGGAAGGGGAATATAGTGGTGAGAATGTGACTGTGTTTTTATATTAGTCTGGCTATGTTTTTCTTCTCAGTTTAATGTACTTGATTACGATGATTAATATTTTGAGAACAGTGTTAGATTTTGACATGTATTTTACAGCTTTACTCTCAGGCCTGGCCTACAAGCATCTTCTTTTTTATTCTTTTTCCTGTTTGTCTTTACTATAGAATTCAATCACATAGCTTTGTACATTAGAAGCCCCAAACAAGTGTAAGTTAAGTACGTATTCAAAATTAAGCTCCAAAAGGTAGCCACTCAAACCCGGGTCTTACCAACTTTAATGTACTACTATTACACTGAGCACAGAGGCACATACCCTTAATCCCAGCTTTGGAGGCAGAGGCAGGGAGATCTCTGTGAGTTCAAGGCCAGCCTGGTTTGCATAGTGATTCCAAACCAGCCAAGGCTATATAGTGAGATCCTGTCTCACAAAAACAAACAAAAATAAATGTATCTCTGTACCTCTCTATCTAATCTATCTTTACAAGACCATGTTTTTGTAAAAATAAATTTTAATTGTTAACATTATTATTGTTAATTATTGTACAAAATGATTTTATTGTGACTTTTCATATACATATGTTTATCATGCATTGATCATATCTGAAAGGTTCAGGCGTTCCTATCCACCCTCCTTTCTTCTATCCTTTGTGTCCCTCTCCTAACAGTCCCTTTGATACTTGTCTTTCCATGTCAAGCTTGTTTTGACAAGATGGTGATTAGTTCATACATTTCCCAGTAACAACAAATTCAGGCTGTATATATCTAATAAGTGTAGCTACTAAGTTCTTGCTGTTTTCCAGGGTTAATAATATACACCTGTGACAGCATTGAAATTTTCCACGTTCCTTAACCTTTTCCGTGACTTTTTAAAATTAGAGATCTGAATTTTCTTTAGGATCAGATCAACCGTTTCCTGGAATATACTTTTGCCCGTGCACAGATGGGATAGGACGGAAGATATAGAGGAAAGGGGCTCAAGTTCTCGGCTGTTGAAAACAAGACTGGAAGGTGGTGCTGACAGCCGGCCCGGGCTCAGTAGGTCATGTCTTACACTCATCTTTTCCCCCTTTGGGGTCATAGCTCAGCAATGGCCAGCAAGCTGTGTCTCTCTAGTCTAAACCGCTCCCCCAGGACAGAGATTACACCTTGACTTGCATGGCTTCTCATTGGGATTGTTTTTTAATCTCTCCCATTTTTCCTTTCTTTTTTTTTTCTGTTTGCAGCTCAGCGACATGTCCTCACGTACATGGAGGATGCAGTGTGCCAGCTGCTGGAGAACAGGGAGGATATTGGCCAGTATGGCATTGCCCGATTCTTCACTGAATAGTGAGTACATGAATGCTTTGCTAATTGGGCAGGCCCAAAGGAGGTACTTGGAAGCAGGCCGGATACATGAATGGGTGATGAACATAGGCCAGCTGTGATGACATAGTAGCAATGACTCTTGGTTGGGTAGGTTGGTTGAAGGCTGACCAACATGTGTAGGAGCAAGAACATGCCTTTGATGCAGCTGCTTTGTTCAATGGTGTATCTCTTGAATGATCAGGACTGTAGTAGTTTTTTTGATCCAATAGGTGTGTTCCTTTAGGTTCCTTGTGACTTTTGTTTGTTGGTTTTCCCTTTTAAGGTTAATTTATTTTTAAATTTTATGTGTGTGAGTGTTTTGTCCTCATGTATATCTGTGCACCTTATGCTTGCCTGATGCCCACAGAGGTCAAAAGAAGTTGTCAGACCACCTGGAACTGGAATTACAGATGGGCGTTGTTGTGTGCAAATTCTGAACCCCAAAACCACCAAGAGACCCACGCTGATGCAAAAACAAAGAGTCTTTTATTATTAACGAATTAACCGCGTTAACTTGGGCCCTTTGTCTCTCCAATACAGTGGCTGGCGTGAGAAGGACCCAGAGAAACCGCCAGGTGGGGAACTTATTGGGCAGCATAAGTGTATACCGGTATGCAACAGTCTCAGGATTGGTGCTCTTTCGGGCTTGGTCGACCTGTCTTGTGTTGATTGGTTAACTGATTGTTATGGCCTATAGGCCCTCCCAAGGCACTGCTATGCTCTTCATGTCACTGTTATGCCACTTTTAATGTAAAGTGCTGTAAAGCATGTCAGCTAACTTCTGATTGGTCCCTTGCCACATGGAGGGTATCTGACCTAGGGCAGCTCCTACAAGGTCAGAAGGATGGAAACTAAGAGCATGTGCTGAGTCAGGGGCCTTTGTCTTTCTAGGTCTTTTCTGCAGCCTGTTGTGGCTGCTAAAGCAGGGGGCTGGGTGAGGGTCTGGTTCCTTCAGTGTGAGTCACCATGTTGGTGCTAGGAGTCAACCCGGAGTCCTCTGAAATAGTGGCCAGTGCTCTTAATCACTGAGCCAGCCGTCTAGTCCCATCCCTCTTATACTTTTTTAACTTTCCCCTTTATTCACAACACTTACTCTGATTTCCTTTATTTGGTGATTGTTTTCATGGCTTCTTTTTCTCATGGTCTTGTTTGGTATATTATACCTGTGTGCTTTTCTTTTCACGGGATGTTGTACTATTTGCATAATGATGATATATTTTTGAAAGGCCATGCTTTATTGTAAAGTATACATTGAGTATACATGATTGCTATTTTGAGAATATTAGCAAATCATTTTTAAGCTAATCACCTAAAGCATTTTAATCTTCATGAAAGGTTATGCTAAAGAAATACAAAGCTGTATTATGTTTACTGGTTATTTTATGTTTACTAGTATTATTACTAATATACCCTTACTATTGTATGTAATTTTTCTTGTGTTTTTGTAACGTTCTAAGAAAGGGGACTTAATCTCTGCCAGCTTCCTTTTAAGGCAATTCAGAACTGAAGTCCATCTTCCTTGACTACAAAGGTATCTTTTTCCACGGTCAAGTCTCCAGAGCCTCTTTGGACACCAGACCACTGTTCCAACAGCCTAATGTGGGTGTAATTAAAGGAATGTTTGACTCTCCCTAGTTCTTTTGCTGTGTTAGAATTCTCAGAAATAAAATTGGTGGAATGTAGGTTTCTTTTTTCTTCTTAATTTTTCTTTCCTTTGTTTTTCCTCCCTCCCTCCATGTCCCTCCTTCCCACCCCCCTCTTTCTTTCATGTATGGTACTATGGATAGAACCTGGTGTCTTATGTTAAGCAAGCACTTTACCAATGAACCACTTTCCCAGGCTTAACATCTACATGTTTTTTATGCATTGGAGTCTTTAAGTTTGGGGGAGATAAACAAGTTTCTTGGGAAGAGAGTAGTCTCTTCACCCAGTCTTCTACAGGAGGATGAAATAGAGACAGGAGACTTGCTTGTTCTCTTGGTGTGGGCTGACAAGAACAAGGTGGGCATGGAATAAGGCCTGAGGTTGCATAGCCGTGTTTGCCTTTACAGAACTGATAAGGGTCGAGTTTCTAGGCCATTTAATCTGTACTGGCTCCTTAGCAGTTCTTTGCCAAATGAAATGTGACTCTTGTGGGGGAGTGCTCTTCCTGGCCTTCTTTCATTCCCCTGCCCCCATCCCCTCTATAAGTCTTTCCATTATTTTACTGGTTTCTTGTGGATAGGCATTTCGTTTCCTCTTTGTTTTCCCAGCTTTAGTGTGGTATGCACTAGTATGTCAAGGTATTGGTAAGTGTTAGTAAACATGTCTTGAATCAGTAACTACATTTTAAGCTTTGTCTATTACTTGTCTATTACTCTTATTCTTGATCCTCTTATACTGTTTTCTTTCTAACCCCATCTATTGTTGATTTCAGAGAGTAAAGCTCTATACTTTTCCCTTCAAGAAATGTTGTATAATATGTCTAGTACTCCAAAAGCTGTACTGGCCTGTGTAAGTGATACTGAGCTCTAAAGAGCCAGTATGCTGTTGACCCTTGATAGGTTTTGAGTTTTTTTTAATTTAATCTACTAAAACACTGTTGAAAAAAATTAATTTTTTCATAATACTGGTAGAAATCTAGTTGCCAAATGAGATGTTCCTTGTTCTCAGAAAACAATTTCTATAAGGTATGTGGATGGCACATACCTGACACTTCTACAATTCTGGCTCAAGGGAAGTTATTTTGATATGTGAAAAGTGTACCAACATCAAAGCTATGAAAATGTTTTTAAAAAAAAAAGATGAAGTCTGTGACACAATGGGAAGTAGTAGGGGGGCATTTGGAGACCCAAATGGTAGAAGCTTCTGGTTTTACTATGTGAATGTGATTTATCTAGAGAAAATGCTCTCATTCAGGGACAGTTTTATCGTGATTCACGAGAGAAGATCACTACTCTCTCACGAAGCTGTGTTCTGTTAGCTAACCTGAGCAGAGTTCTGGACGCCAGTCTGAAATCGCCTCATTTTTGAGATGAGTTAGACAAAACTTGATGTACTATACTAATAATGATGACATAATGGCAGTTTTTAAACTCATACTGCTCCAATTCTTTGAACTAGATGTGATTGCTAGCCCTATTTTATTGATGGGGTCTCCTCAGTTTAAAGGTTAAATGCTTCAAGTTCAAAAGCTAGTAACTGTCAGAATTAAGAAATCAAGCATTTTCTGCAATATTATCGTCTACTTTTTTTTTTTTTCAAGACAGGGTTGGTTTCTCTACAGGTGTGGAGACTGTCCTGGAACTCACTTTGAAGACCAGTCTGGCCTCGAACTCACAGAGATCTGACTGCCTCTGCCTCCCAAGTGCTGGGATTAAAGTCATATGCTACAACTGCCTGGCACCACTAAAGTTTTTTTAGTCTCTGATTGTTTGAACTCTCCCTGGGAGCTACATCATCCAAGCTTATCCTGTAGCCTTGTCTGATAACCTCAGTTCATTGAAATTTAAGTATTTAGCATTAGCGTTTGAGGAGATCAATTAGAGCTGTCTTTAAACAACAGTAAGCCTGACTGTTTTGTTTTTGTCATCATTTTTCAAGACAGGGCTTCTCTGTGTAATCTTGGCTGTCCTGAAACTCACTCTGTAGACCAGGCTGACCTCAAACTCAGACATTTGCCTGCTTTTGGCTCCCGAGTGCTGGGATTAAAGGCGTGCGCCACCACCACCCATCCAACTCTCTAAAAAGCCTGTGATCTGTACACTCCCATCTTATCAAGTCTGTGCTTTTCATCCATTGAGTAACAGGAGTTTCTCATGGGCCTTTCTGCTGGTTTGTTCTCTTGCCTGTGATGTCACTCTTGATTGCTCATGTTTTCAAACAAGTCTATAAGGGAAAGGTTTCGAATGAGGGGTTCAAGAGGGACACTGAGGCAGATTGATGGGAACGTGGAGTTTATCAAAAGAGTTATTAACTCCATGGACAAAAGGGTAGCAAGGGCTCTGAGCAGAGTTCAGTCTCCTTCATCAGAGACAGAGAGTATTGCTGAGCCTCTGAAGAAAGGAGGTCAGCTCCTACTTAGCAGAAATGGGAGTCTGTTCTTTCACCTTTCTGAAGATAGTTGGCTTTATAGCACAAGCCTGTAGCCTGGTTCTCTGATACCCACACAGGATACAGGGAAATGGATGGGGACAAGATGTGTAACAGCCAATACTCCCTTTGATGTAAACTCACTTACCCATAAGCCTTTTAGCTAGGGACTCACAGGACATTATCTCAGGAGGATGCCCTGTGGGAATCTATGAAAGGGAAGGCTGCGGTGGCCTGAGCAGCAGCTGGATTCTGACATTACATTCTTATGTGGTATCCCAGCAAATCTTACTAACTGTAACACTGTGGCTGCCCACCACTACGTGTGTCTCCAAGGCTGAACACTGAAGAACTTGAAAGCAGGAAGGTCCACCCCAGGGGGTCTTCTGTGCTGTATGTAATGTAATGTTTACCTCTGGATGTTGTCCTCCAAACAGGAAGGGTGAAAGGAATTCATATTGAGGTGCTTCTCTGAGAATAGACCAGGTCAGCACTGGGTCAGTCTCTCTGAAGACATGTGTCCAAGGAAATGAGGTGAAGTTGCTGGGACTTAGAGACCGCAGCAGTGTGACCAGTTCTTGTGGGAAGGATAGAATGAGAACTGTGGCTTTTCACGATATTGGAAAATAATGAGGAGAGTAAAGAACAGGCTGAAATGTGAGAATTGCTATCAGGATTAGGGACCATTCCCCCCAGTAAGTTGATAGTTACAGCCCTGTGGCATCAGGGAGCTTGACCTCCACATCCTAATATAGGAGAGCAACACTCTGTGGTTCTGGCCATTGCGACAGAAGGCCTTTTTGTTGCACTTTGTTTTGTTTGTTCTCATGGTCAGTTTTGGTTTTTATGAAGTTTAGATAGTGACTGGTTTGGTTGCAAGGGAATTTTAATAAACTGGTAGTTTATTAAAA